CCAGCACTTCAGCAATTCATTCGTCGCACTTCGAGGCCAACGGCCAACTTCGGCAGCCCAGGCAAGTATGGCCTCAGTGGAAAATGAAACGAAGAAAATGCTTCCCGGGGAAAAAAACAAAGAAACAATAAAGCAACAACGAGCCCAGAAATAGCGATTGCATTGGTTGACCTCGCTGGGAGGAGATTCAGCCAGCTAATATCCACTGCAGCAGCTAAAGGCTCAGACTGGCTCAACAGCATGCCTACCGATTCTGCTGTGGTTGCCATGTTTGCTTCGGCTTTTAAAGTCGCAGACTGCTCAAAAATTCACCTAGATGAGGAGTGCTTTTTGAAGTAATAGTAAGCAGAAGTAAAAATTAGGCGAAATTTAAATAAAGGTAAAGAGAAAAGTTTAACACTTGTGTTAATATTTATGCAATTATCATTCTAATTCCGTATTAACATAATATTTCCTGTCAAGTCTTAATCAACATTTTAGCTTATTAGTAAGTTAATTACACAAATAATGTAAAGTGCTTAGTAAATAACTTAACTTTACCCAAAAATTATCAAAAACTGTCCTAATGATAACAGTTATTAGCAATATTTGTTGTATACGTTGAAGATGGTGAATTAATAACTGAAAAGGGATGTTTCGGTCCACTGTGTCACATATATTTCTGTTCTGTACCGCAACTAATCTCGTCAGCACGAGTGTTCCTGAATGCTTGCGGGTTTAAATGAGTCGCAAGCCAACTTATGATGCGTGACTCATTCGCGGTAATGCTTCAACGGTAGTCAAACCATCGCATCCCCATAACGCGGTTGAGTGCTCAAATCCGCTTCTGATTATGTTGTTTGTTTCATCATGGTAAAAAAAAAACACATCATTTTTTACCAGAAATTATCAGAAACCTTAGTGAGTTCAGCTGATACGATGAATTAGGGAAGAAAACAGATTTGGCTCGTAACTAGTAGTTCACGGGGAGACGGTGAACTGAACTGAGCGATTATATTTAGCCACTCGACTGAGGGGGAGGGGAAATAAAAAGAGCCGGTTTTTTTGAAAAAAAAAAACTAATAAAAACGAAGAGGTAAGAAAAGAGCCCGGGAGAGGGAGGAAATTTTTGCGATAGTCTTATTTTCCTGGTCAAACATCAAAAATTCATTTTTTTAATGGCCTAAACTTCATTCAAAATTCCGTGCCGCCTTTAAGCACCTTCCACGCTATTTTTTCACGGAAAACGGACAGACCAAAAAGGAAAAGCGAAATGGAAATGCATATGAAAGCACGCTCACAACGGAGATAATGAATGCGTCTGTCTGGTTTACTGGGCTCCGCGTCTTCGTTCAAAGCTTCCCCTTGAGGAATTTCAGTGGTTGTTCAAAATCTCAATTCGTCTTGACTCATTTAATTTTGTAAGCTTTTTAGCATATCTGTGTAAGCTGGCATATAAAATTGCATTCTGAAGTAGGAACTTCCGTTTCGAAGTACTGAGAGAACTCGTATACGGGGATGAGTAGTTACTGAAACATGCTCCT